GTCTGTCTGTCTGTCTGTCTGTCTGTCTGTCTGTCTGTCTGTCTGTCTGTCTGTCAATGAGATATATTGCTTTAACTTAACAACGTGTCCTGGCATTGTCAGATGCAAAGCTTGGAAATACGAGTCATGTGTTTTGCTAGTTTTTGAATAGCTGGAATTATTTATCCATTTCTTTTCTCTTCTAGTCACCGAGCCGTGCTACACTGTTTGGGCACCGGAGGGTCGAGATCGTACTGTGCTGTAGTTTCAGACGCTAGATCCTGGAGGACTATTATTCAATTTGTCTAATACATATTTAACGGGGAGCGCCATTACCCATTGATTCTCCGCTCTTGTTCCTCCCCAGTGTCTTCTCGTATTCTGTTCCCGCGTCGTTAGCTCAGTTAATTGGCATCGTGCCTGGCTTTAGCGCGGATGACTCTGGTTCGAACCCACAATGGGGCGTTCTTGAACGTGGTTTGTTTGGGAAGCTTTCAAGGCTCTCCAAGCTGGTGTTTGGGGGGCGTCACTGGGAGGTCCTACTTCTTTACTTTCCTTCTGTTGTTTCTGTCTGTCTGTTTTATTTTTTCCTTACACTAAATGGCCGTTATTGAGTCGATGTGCTTCTCTTTACTAAACAAACAAATAGACCAACACACAAACGAACGAACAAACAAAGGCTTTCTACTTTCTTCCAATCAGAAAAGGGCGGTGAATTCGGAACTGTCGTCTTTTGTATAACTTTATAGTGGTAAGAGAGACAGTAAACCATACAGTTATTAAGGATCGCATTTCCTGGTCAATTTTTTACCTTTGTCCCTGCAAATTACTTTTTATGTTGATTGAAAAGCTATCATGAGAGTTTGTGTCAGACTTCTTCTCTCCTTCTTTTCTCTTTCTAAGCGTCCCACTCCCTCCCCATATTAAAAAAAAAACAACCTTAAATGAACACACCCATAGAAACAAAACAGACCAAAAACAACAGCAACGACAAAAGCCGAGCAAAACAAACATCAACAACAAACTGACGACAGAACAAACCTAATAAAAAGACAACCAAACTCACAAAAGCACCCTTCCCAAAAACGACACCCAAGCTACAAAAATTCAGCAACCATAATAAAAAGTCAGAAAACCACAAATCCTTCTCTTATTATTATCGTTCAGATTGCCTTTTTTGCATTGCAAATCGATTTGACCCACTTATGTGTGGAGTTTTGGGGGTCTTGGCCACGTACAGGACACATAATGTTATACAGGCCCGTGCGTGCACGCACACACACACGCTTTGGAATATTCCAGAACTCCAGCCTCTCGCCACCACCTCCTCTCCTTTTTTTTGTGCTTTCACTTACTCTTTTGCTTCT